CCTCGCCTTCCCCACTCTAATCCACTCGCAGAAGTCGCCTGTTCTGTTCCACCGCGCCTGCCACCGGCTGGCTCCACCCAGGCTCCACCGATAATCGCATGAGCGGCTCTCGCCTCGCGGGTAACAGTATCCCTACGCCCCCCCACCAGGCCGCGCACGTACGTCTCACAGGTTGTCCTTTAAAGTATGGATTCCTAATTCACAAAACGCAAAGGAGCGCGATTTTCCCGCGCGTGAGAGTGATATTTACGCAGCCCATAAAGGCCGGCAAGCGCGGGGCATGACGACCGACGACCGCCCTCGCGTTTTGAGAACTCCTATATCCAATCCACGACAACAGTTGCATTTTTAAATAATACAAAGGTTGTTTACAGTTCTCAAATTTCAACTTGAAATCGTATTTTAATAACAAACTCAGAAAACTGTTAATTGTGTTTACAAAGACGCGCCCCTTCTTGTAATTGCAATCTCATTGCCATTTTCCAGAAATTTGTTTGCAAAAAAAGGGAAAGAATTGAGGTAGGCAGATGGCAAGAGATGGTATGGAACTATTCCTCCACGCTACCAATACACGCAAATCCCCACAGTATCGACAGGTGAACCGGTGGACTGCACTGAGACGCGCGACGGGTCCAAAACGAACGCCTTTCTCGTGTGTCCCCTCCCCCTCCCGCCACCCACACAACCGACTGTGCATCACACGCCCCGTTTGCTTCCTGCTTTGCAACGAACGCCTTTGGTGGGTAAAAATGCCCGCACAGTTGGAAAGAGTGCTTTGCAGAATTCAAGCCGTGTAGGCGAGTACTAGGCCGCATCGGCGGCCGAGGAGAAGGGGGCACGGCACGGCCGGAGCGTGCATTCACCACGAGGATGGGTCGGTTGTTTGGGACTCCGGGGTCCCCAGCCCGGCTCTGCGCCGGCTTCCCCCAAGTTACACACAGCACCCTGTACACATACAACTGCACAGCCCAAGCCCGTCCGTTCCCTGATCCGGCTCGAGGCACAAGTTAGAACAGCCGGAGTCGGGCGGGGCCTCAGCCTTGTAAAAGTGTTGGGCACTTCTTATCACCCACACTGAGAGAAATTCGTTTGCAGTCTCATCAATGATTTTTAATACCAACCATCAAATGTTCAATCCGCCACACTGTAAGTTCCTTACGAACCACTGCTCTTCGTAACGTACAAATGATTTGGAGCATTTGTATTACAAACAAATTGTTTGTATTACGAAGAGCCTGGTTTGTATTACAAACGAGGCTTTTCGTATTACGAATAGGGGGTGTTCGTAATATGAAGAAAAATCGTTCGTAATATGGCTGCTTTAGATCCTTTGTAAGTTACAAACAAATTCTTCGTAATACGAACACCGCTGTTTGTAAGGAACTAAGAGTGCAGGGCTAGTAAACGCATCAAAATTTCAGTTGCTGTAACCAACACTTGCAAGTGTGCAGCTCCTAAGTTTTACACTTGCCAGTACACGGAAAAAAATAGATTTGTCTTCACAACCAAAAATTAGTTGCTACAACTAAGAAATCAGTTAAAATCGTGACCACTGATAAATAAGTTGTCGCAACAGATATCTGTGTTCTCACAACCGACGTTTAGTTTGATAGAGCCGAGGCAATGTCATTTGCACTAACTGATCTCTGTGATCCGCCCAAATAATTTAAGTTAGATGTCAGAACACAATTCTTTGTTCAGACACACGTTGTCCTTATTCACCCCAGTTATTCGTGTGAGTTCTTGATTTGATTCTTGCGACTAACGTATCGTGTGCAGCAGTTGCGAGAGCAGTTGCCACCATACTTTCTGCGCACCAATATGCCTTATGTGCCGCGCCAAATAAGAAGTTGGTTTTCACACCAGAAATATTTGTTGACACACCGAAAAGCCCCTCAGTCGCTATTGCTCTAGATTCATTTCTAATGGCTACCTAGTATTATCATGAAACTCGATTTCATTTAGTTTTCGGACACTGAAAACAGCGTAATAACGCATGTTATCACCAGATGATAACGCGGTGCACATTTCAGTTTTTGTGGAATATTTTCTAAACGAGCTCTGAGATTTAATTTTCGAACGCACCAACGGATTTCCCGCGAAATTTCCGATCAAACAAGCCTACATGTGATAGGGTTCGGAGTTCAAATAATAATACGGAATAAGATGTGTTCTTAGAGAACCTTTGTTCAGAACCCTATCACATGTAGGCTCGTTTGATCGGAAATTTTACGGGAAATTCAATGGTGCTTTCAAAAATTAAATTTCAGCGCTCGTTTAGAAAATGTTCCACAAAAACTGAAATGTGCACCG